GTTTTTACATAACATGGATATGTTATTATTACATGTAATAACATGTATTTTTATCATTTATATAAAAATAACATGTATTACATGATATTATATGTTATTTTATGGATACGTTATTACATATAATAACATGTATTTTTATCATTTATAAATTTTAATTACTTTTTTTCTTAACTTTGAGTTTCACAACGCATTGGGCCTTACCGTTTTGTTACATGTTATTTTTATCATTTATAAATTTTAATTACTTTTTTATCTTAATTTTTGAGTTTCACAACGCATTGAACCTCACCTTTTTAGTACTATGCCTCAATTATGACTTTAACTTTTTAAAACCTTCATACCATTTATCAAAACTCTTCTATACCATGTCCTCCTTCCTCCACTTTCTTCACCGCTTTAGCGCCACTGTAATCTCCAACAAATCCCAAGCTCTGACGGTGTTAGGTACGTTATTCGTTCTTACATTTATGTATGGTGATCAACTTTTTTCGTATTTCTTCTCTTTAATTTCTTTGATTTTTCTTGACTTATAACTTTAGAACGACCATCAAATCAGAAAGGAGAGCATACCTTAATTCATTCTTTGCTCTCTCCATTTGCATAAAACTCTTTTTCTGTTCCCATAACGACTATACTATGATTGTAATTGTAATCACATTCCAGTTTGCAAATGAGATCCCTCATCCCCATACTTGATATTTCTGAAATTACTGTATAAATATATGAACGAGCAATGGAACGTCTAAGCCCTTTACTCCTTTAGAGATATAGTCATTATACCCAATATCTCTGTATGGCTTCAATCTAGCCACTGTTAGTGGACAATTTACACTGCTTCTTTTAAAAGGTTTGATGAATATCATGCTCATGAGCTTTTGGCAGTGCATTTCCCCCCTATGTTCGTGAATTACTTTGGAAGTTAGAACTCATTTTCTATCTGGTATTACCTCAAAAACATTGAATCATTCCTTTATGTTGTGATTATGAAGTTGTTTAAGTTATCAAATTCAATATCCGATTTTGAAGTATCAAATGAATTGGGACTTGGGAGGCAAAAACATTTTCATGCTTTACAGATAGAAGATGTAGATGCCGAATATTTGAGGTTCTTTCTAGTTGTGCTTAGATGAGTTCATGATGTACTTGATATTGTTTATATATTTAATTGTTACGCTGAATAGTAAAGAATGCTACTGGTTTTATAGTGATTACTGAATTTTGTGATTTGATTGATTCAAATCATGGTTATTAAATGCAAAGAATTTATTTGAATTTCCCAATGGGAGTATGGATTAGCTACTACATGCCTTTCCTTTTATTCTTACTTTTTTAGCATACAACACTATCCTTTTTTTTTTCTTTTGTTTTATTGCAAAAAGTTTGAAGCTACAAGGCAAGTGATTGAAAATGTCCAAAGTAAACACATTTTCTTTTTTTAATTAATTTTATTTTTTCCTATTTTAAAATATTATTAAATATTTCGTTCACATTTTGAAATATATTTCAATATTAATGTATTTATAATAGTTATGTGAAAATGGCAAAATATATTCTATATAATGTTCAGTGATAACAACACACAAAAGTACCAAAAAAATTCATTCAGGGATAAAGTTGTAAGTACTAAATAGTTTCTTTGTTTTCAAAGGACCAAAAGAAGTTGAAAAGCAGATTTTGACCTTCCAGTAATTAGAACTTTTCTACTTTTAGATATCAGAGTTGATTGTTATTAAACAACACTGAAAGAAGACAATAAGCCAAAGCTGAAAATACTAGGCTCTTGGGCTCCTAGTTCTAATCTAGCTTCTCTATAAATTTGCACAGGTTGAATCCTGTAAATCTCCACCTTGTGCTACACCCTGCAGACTGTGACCCACTAAATAGGTGATAAAATGAGAGGAAGTAGACTAAGATGCTTTGATCTTGTGCATAGAAGACCTTTGACAAAAACCATAAGAAGTGATCTATTGCAAGTTGAAGGGGCTAGTAGGAGTAGACCAAAAAGGACTTGGGTTGAAATAGTAAGAAATGACTTGAGCACTAATATTTTAACAGTGAAAACGATACTAAATAAAATAAAGTGGCAACACAAGATCCATGTAGATGACCCCATATAGTTGGGATAAGGCTTGGATGATGATGATAAAAATATGTAGTTTTAAGATATTGCATTTTTAATAAAAATGCACATTAAATGTTTCAAAATGATCATTTTACCACTCTTTTAAGTCATCTTTCCAATTGAACAAAATATACCTAAACCTTAGTGATTTAGGGGAGTCCTCATTGGTGACTTGGTGTGAAACTCATGTACTTCATTTCAACTATTATTGTTGGAGCTCAAGTTCAAACAATTTGTCATTGAGTTTTGGAAATATGGTTTTCTTTTTTAGCACGAAGAAAAAAAAAAGTGATTTATTCTTTTAGAGGAATTTTGCAGCTAGAGAAGCATGTAATCAACTTCTTCTTGGAGAATTGGTTGAGTATTTAGGGGTGTGCCTAATCTAGTCCCTTCCTCGTTTTCTCATTATTCCCGATGATTGCATACAGAGAGTTTAGAGAAAAATCTTGTTTACCCTTTTTTTTATCAATAAAAATATTTGTTTACACTTCTTTATATTCTTCTTGATTTTTTAGTTTATGTAATTTTTTATGGACCTTTTGTTTACTCCCTATAAAAGAGTATGATAGAATCTTTCTGTCATGAAATTTCCATATTCTTACATATTCTTTTCATTTATTTCCCCTGGATGTAAGGGTTGTAATTTTTTTTTTCATATTGAAATTTTGTATTATAGATCTAGTTGGAGTTTCCATTCTCTTGCTAAATTCTTACTTATCCATGCTTTTAACTGCCAAAGAATGGTGAATACCTACAGCTTAAACATCGGTGTTTGGTTAATTCATATGACATGTTTAATAAAAAGCTTGAGACTATTGGTGTTCTTTGACATCTTAATTTATTGAATTTAACCACAAACACTGAGAACATTTTGGATTTGTACCTGGACAATCTATTTGTAATGAATAAGAGATTTGGATGCCAATTCAATCAGATTAATTCATGCTAACTAAATTGTAGTGAAGGCATAAAGCTTGTGAGTGATTTAATGATGTTGTGTTTTTTCCACTGTAAATGTTATTTTAATCATGTTATGAAAACAAATGGTGTTTCCCATGTTTAACTATATACCTCTCGGCATTTTTTGAAAAGGAAATAAATAAATAAATGAAGTGTCTGAGCACACATGCCAGCATATCTATCAAGGATTGCTTCTTTTTTAGAAGCTCTCAGTCCCTAACCAACAAACAAGAAACTTCACCAACTCAACTCAACAAAGCACTGCCCTAACTACGTAGGGTTGGCTAAATGTTGGCATTTATTCTCTGTTCGATGCCATATTAAATAACTTGCCCCCAAATTGTTTGCAACTACTTCAACCCATGTCTGTTTTATCCTTCTCCTAGCCCTTTTAGACCCCTCAACTTGTAATAGGTCACTTCTTACTGGTGTTGTATATGGTCTTCTATGCAGTTGAATAAACCATCTTAATTTACTTTCCCTCATTTTACCATCTATTGGAGTTACTCCTAGATTCCTGCAAACTTGTTCAATTCTAATTTTCTCACTCATCCATCTTAACACTCATGTATATGTTACACTTAATTTTTGGCAAATTAGTTGATTGTCCAATACTTTTCTCCATATGCTATCCTTATAGCCATTTATACACCTTCTTGTGTCATGTTTCATCTTAATAAGATTTTACTATTACAATTCTTTGAAGATTTTTTTGATCAATGTTAGCACCCAATTTTTGCTCAGTCTACCGCTTGAACCCCCAATTCACCCCGAACGTTCAATTAGATTGTTTTGATCCATCTGAAACACCAAAAAAACCTGAATTTCACGTCGAGAGCCCTTAGATCCATTGTTGAACCTACCCAATACCTATCCGATGGCCCCAATTAGCCCCCACTTACACCTCAACCATTAGATCAGACACAACCACCAAACCCAGGACCTCCCAAAATACCTACCCATGAATTTTTGACTCAAAATTCCTCCATTTACCCTTTCATCAAATAAATATTACACTTCAACATCTCTCATTAGCCTAAACACTCGGAACTCAAATTCCCTTGATCTTGACACATCCAAACTGATCAAACCACACCTTTAAATTCCAGACACATCAAAGCACCTCCCATAAAGTTTCAGCCCTAGATTCCCCAATTTGCCCATCCATAAAACAAAGATTCTATTTTATCATCCCATTTACCCAAATTCCTATGACCTTGGCCCTCCAAAGACATATTAGACCTCATCATCAGATCCCAGACACACCAAATACCCACTTGTGAAATCTCAACCCAAAATACCTCCGTTTACCCTTCAATTGCACCAAGATTCCATTTCAAAGTCCTAAATTGACCAAATTCCAAATCTGCCCTATCCGGGCCTATTTGGCCCAATCTAACCTTACCAATCACCTCAGAGTTTCCATAAATCATACCCTGTGAAATTTCATCCAAAAAGGACTTTGTTTTCCCCTCGATCACACAAATATTTTGTTTCATCCAAAAAGGACTTTGTTTTCCCCTCGATCACACAAATATTTTGTTTCGAGGCCTCTGATTAACCGAATCGAACCCTTTCCAAATCTGCCAAATTCGGGCCCAGTTGGGCCAATCTGATCCCATCAATCAACCCTAAATTCCCAAAAACTCCACCTTGCCAAATTTCAACCAAACATACTCTCATTTACATTTCTATCTAAAAAGATTCTGTTTCGGTCAATCTTGCCAACCCACACACACAAACCCACTCTAACCCATCTCAACCCTCAACTTTTTTGACCTAAAACCACCCATCATTGAACCAGGACCCGGTCGGTCCCCCTGAACCCGGATTGACCTAAGTGGCCAAAATTACAAAATGTCCTAAGTTTCCCAAAAATTACGAAACTGCCATTTAACCTAATACTTAAGCCTGTTCTTTATTCATTCGAAGAGAGAGAGAGAGGAGATAATCGACTGTTCATCCTCTTCCCCCCTTCGAGTGAAAACAGAGGAGCAGCGGCGACTCGGCGGCAAAAGCCTCTCGATCCCGGCGGCGTTTTCTTCTCTTCCCCCTCTCCACTCACTTCTCCTTAGCAGCGACGCCTCACTCCATCATTGATTCTAACTTTAGCGTAACGTCCCTTCTCGGTGAAACCAGAGCCGGACTCGAAGGAAGTCACTGTCCATCATCCCAACCTCCCGAACAGAGCAAGAGAAACGGCGAACAGACACCCCTCCCTTCACTTATTTTTATTTCTTTTCCTTTCTCTCTCTTTCTCCCTCTCTTGTCCGTTCTTTTTTCATTTTCACATCCCATACACCGCTGTGAGTCTTTCGTTCGTCATTCACGTCGGCTGGTGTGTCGTGTTAGCTCCAACGTATATTCTGCTCATCAACTCTGAAAATCTTAAGCTCAGAACTCCATTTTCGTACAATAGATCCCTTCAGACCGACTCCGAATCAAAGAGGTCAGATCCTGAAACGAGACTGCGGTTCCCCTGTTGCATTGTGTAAATCCAGGCCAACACCCAAACCAAGTATGCCCTTCCTTCACTGTATGTTTCTCATTTTTTTTTCTCCCACTTACTATAGAATAACTGGGATTTGAATGATTGTTGAAGACGGCGGTGAAGCTTCGGCCGAGCCGATCTCTGCGTGCCTTTGAATCTAGTCTATTTCTACCGCAGTTGAACTAAATATTTTTGCATAAACAAATAATAAAAATTAGTTAAAAAAATATAAAATAATTTAGTTAGGGGTTTTCTTTTCTTTTGGTGGCTTTTTTTTTATTTTTTCTTCTCCCACTTACATAGAATAACTGGGATTTGAATGATTGTTGAAGACGGCGGTGAAGCTTCGGCCGAGCCGATCTCTGCGTGCCTTTGAATCTAGTCTATTTCTACCGCAGTTGAACTAAATTTTTTTGCATAAACAAATAATAAAAATTAGTTAAAAAAATATAAAATAATTTAGTTAGGGGTTTTCTTTTCTTTTGGTGGCTTTTTTTTTTTTTGGCCTGGCTTTATTGATTATTAATTGCTTGCTTTGAGTTTGCTTGTTTGGGATATCATTTAGGCCTCACCTATTGGACAGACACCCCTCCCCTCTCCCATTCTAGTCTTACCTGGATTGGTTCAGCAGGCCTCGGGTTGTTGGAGTTACTATTAAAAAACTTTATTAATGATGGGGGCGACTCCAAGCCCTTTTTGGATGCTCACAATTGATAACAAAAAACTTTATTAATGATGTGAAGCTTTGTGAAACTTTAATTACAAAGGGGGGAGGTAAATTGTCTTAACCCCCCATCAACAGAATACACCATTGTCTTCTTCCTTTAGCCATCTAATCACCACCTTCGAGTCACCTTTAAAAATTAACCCAAAATATAGATTTCCTATTCACCCCTTGCTTGGCTAACCCATTTGCAAATGAGTTACTTCACCCAGTTGTATTGCATTACAATATCTCTACTCAACCATTTGAATTTTTTATATAACTCTACAAACCACTGTCTTCTTCCTTTGGCTATCTAATCACCACCTTTGAGTCACCTTTAAGGACCAAACATCTGATGTTCAGATCTCTTGCTTTTTGGATTCTTTTCACGGCTGCAAGAATCTCAGCCTTAAGAGAGTCTCCTTCTCCAATTGGGCCTGAAAATATGGCAGTAATAAATCCTCGTTCTTGAACACTCCCCCAATCCCAGAAGGCCTTAGATTCCTTAGGCTATTACCATCAAAATTTAGTTTATGAATCTAGAGGGAGGAGGGGACCAAGAGGGGCTAAGAGTCCTCTTACATAGGGCAGAGGTAGCTATCTCTTTCTAATTTCTTACCAAGTCCGCCACAGAATAACCTGAGAACAACTCCATAGATTTCAGCCCGTGGGCATGCAATTCTTTGATGATGTTTAAGTCAGCAGACATTTGATCCAGGAAAGACAATAAATATTTTGAGGTTATATTAACTATGAAGAAAGGGGAGAGAAAAATCTATCAGAAAAAAGAAAGAAAGAAAGAAAGGGGAGAGAAAAGGAGACCCGAAGGAAATCGCTCACTATTGTAAATGATGCTCTTTGTAAGTTGTAAAAAAAAAGAAAAGAAAAGAAATACAATCCTTAGGTAACTAGTTTTTTGAGTCACGTTGGTGTCATTCCAAGCTTAATGAGGTCATTTAGATATGCATTGTTATTCCAAGACAGTTTACCTTAGCATTCCTATTGTAGATTTTTCTGCTTTTTTTAATGTTCTTGGTTGCTTTTTCTTGGGTATGCTTGATTTTGAAAGCAGAGATGGTTATCCCTCCACCAGTCAAACCGCCTAGAATAACAAAATTTATTAAGCCATATGTGCTGAGGATGCACTTCACAAACAAGTACGTCAGCGCGCAAGTCATCCACTCGCCAACAGCAACAGTAGCCACCTCTGCAAGCTCACAAGAGAAGGCATTAAGATTAAGCATGGAGAATACTCGAGATGTTGCTGCTGCATCAAAGATTGGGAAGATTCTAGGGGAGCGCTTGTTGCTCAAGGACATTCCAGCTGTATCTGTTATTTTGAAGAGAGAGCAGAAGTATCACGGCAAGATAAAGGCTGTTATCGACTCTTTGAGGGAAACAGGTGTGAAATTTATTTAATACAGAACAAATCTCCTATGATTGCTTACATAAAATGCTGTTGCAATAGAGGACCTTCTTCCAGCATGGAGGTTTATGTTCTGGTTGTTCTTTGGACTTCAGATAAAAAAGAATAATAATTTCTTTTATTTTGGGCCATGAGAGATTAAGGCATTGGACACAGGCCGGCCCGCTAATTTTTGAGCTTGATATGGGCCCATTCCCAGGCCGAGTCTTGATATTTGCAGGCTGGGCTGCAGCGGGCCTGGTGGCCAGGCTTCTTTGGCAGATTAGAAATGATAACCCCTGCAATACTCATTAAGGGGAAATGGGAATGCTAACATTTCCTGCATATGTCGTCCTAGAGATAAAGTGAGGACATCCTTAATTTTGTTTCCTAGCGTTTTTTCATGTGCCTTAGGGCTGCAAACGGATGGAATCTAATTGGTTATAGTTAGATCCAAAATTGATTTATTTATATTTATATTTGAATTGAATCTTATCTATTGGCAAGGTTCAAAAAATCGTTACTATCGGCCTATATTGTCTGATACTTGTCGAATCCGGAGCACCCCGATATGCTCCTACAGAGGGTGTATCGGGGTTCTGACCAGTTCAGAGGGTGGAGGAGCCTTAAATCGCCCTCCTGAACTGGTTCTGAAAAAAATAAAAAAATAAAAAAAAACAGGACCAATATGCCCTTACTGGCGTATCGGGCATATGGATTCAAATCAAATTCGGGTTGCAAATAGATATATAAATTAAATTTATCAAAATTGCATGTTGTAGTGTTAAATGATTTAGATATAACTTTGATATTGTATTTCATGAACAAAATGAGTGAAAAATTACTTGCATGTAGGGATGTCAATGAGTCAAGTTAAATGGTAAACCCGGCTTGATAGTGTTGGGTTAGGGTCAAGTATATTTGGTTTAGGGTTGGGTTAAGGTTTTGATTCTTTAACCTGAGTTGGGTTTGGATTTTGGTTGACTTGTCCTGACAGGTCATGATAATCTGCATATATACAACGTATTCAAACTTTAAGATTTATTTACATATTGATTTTGGTTTTCTTTTTTTAAAATAGGAAAGAAAAGTGACATCTTAAAATCTATAAAACAATTTCCTAATTTAAATTAATGTTTTTTGTCTTCAAAACGTGCTTAAAACATGCAATTGAAATATTATGTATCTGGTCGGGTTGGAATTGGGTTAGACCTTCTACGGTCGGGTCAAGTTTGTGAAACCTGTATTTTTAAAGTCGAGTTGGTTTGGGTTTGGGTTGGGGCAATGGAAAGCCAGGTTAGGGTTGAGGCAAAGTCGGGCCAAACCCGACCCATTGAGTTGTATGAAACTTGAATATATGACAATTCAGTGAAAATAATGTGCTGAAACCAATACTAACAGATACAATGATAAATTATAAATTTTAAGCTTATAAGAGGATGTTTATTTAAATTGAATCAAATCGGATTAGGGGCGGATTCATGATCAATCCAATTATAAGTCTATCAAATTTAGACTACTTTTAATGTGATCAAATTTGATTTTGGACAATTGGATTCCATTTGCAACTTAATGGGTCATTCCATGTCAATTGATTTAGCATAAACTCTAAGTCCTGTTTGCTTTTGGGTAAGTTATTTGGGCAATTTTTTTTTTAGGAAAGACTTACCTGGATAAGTGTATTTACCCATGTTCTTTTATTTCCCAGGTAAATACGACAATGGTCATTTCATCCATAATACTTCAGTATTGAAAGGGCCATTTTTGTTCCATTCAAGTGTTAGTGATTTTCTCTCTAGGTGTAAAAGTTATTTATCCACCTAATCCCTGATCCCCACATAAGTTTGAAAAAAGAGCATGGGTTTTATTGGTTATTGACCAATTTTCTCCCCTCTCAAAATCCAGAAAAAGAAAAAGAACACCCCCCAAGGATTGAGGTGAGGGTCTTTGCTCTTCACTTCCTATCCTTGCCCCCGTTGATGGGCTATCCCTATTCCCTGTCTCTACCAAGGCAGCTTCCATCCCATTCCCACCAGGTTGGGGAGACTGGGTACTTATTGGGGGAGTCCGGCTTCGGTCAAGGTAAAGCCCGTTCCAATAACCTTTTGGAGTCTTACATTGGAAATATCTCTTTCAACCTGGGCCCATTCAAATTTTGACAGCAACCCAATCCGAACTCGCCTAAGTGCACCCCAAATTTACTAGAATTTTATTTGGTGCCCATCCAACCGGCCTGGCCCATTGCATACCCAAGTGAATTCCAGCCTAAACAATAAATTAATCATAACTAAGCTCGCAAGCTCGTAAGCCAATCCAAGACATGAAAGCATTAAGAATTAATTTCTTGTCCATTATCACCTAAACTCTTCAGCTGCCCTGTCTTGAACAAGAGTTTATTCTTTTTTCAATAGATAGTGTGACACACAAACCAACTCCCAAATAATAAATGTTATTATTAGTTATGTATCATATAACCAAGTTGATTATTCTAATAGATTGTTTTGGTTATTAGAGATCACTACTTTATAACCACTGCTCCACTTGCCAAATTAAGTGTTAGACAAGTCAATTGTGACGAAATTCACAGTAGTGGAAATCAAAGCTCAAATTTTATAGTTGGCTGTATGATTCTAGCTGATTCTCTCCGATGGGAATCTTACATCATAGTCAGTCAGGATTATTGTTTAATTATTCTTTATAATTGCAACAACCAAAAGAAAAAAAAAAAAGGAGAATGCACTTGTAGGGTTGGTCAATTTCTAGCTGATACTGAATAATTAAATTTTATTCTGGCACTTTGTCAGTGGAAACTAATTTATTCCAGCTCCCCAACTCAAAATCTTATCTGCACAATTGAATATAATTTTTTCTCAATGGGGTATGAATATGATAGGTAGAAAATCGACAAGAGCGCTTTGATTTAATTACTTTATTTTGGTGATTTGTATGTTATGAATGGATGGACATGGAATTTGACGTCCAGAAAATGCAATTTTCCATTGATGGCAACTACCGAGGAAATTGTCATTTGGATGCAGATTTGGCTGCTTTTTATCTCATCAAATCCTAATCCTTGATCCTTTTCAAGACGTCTATTTTCTGTATTATTGTAGAATTGCCTAGAAAATGTTCATATGCATTCTTCTTTAATGTGGAAAACGGATATTAGATGTAGGGGACTATTGAACTCAAGGTTTTTAAAATCGAATCGGTCAGGGGTCTGGTTCCCAGTTGATGACCTGACCAATTTCTGTTTTTTCCGGTCTGACTGTACAGTCATGTCTGGTTTTGAAAACCATGATTAAAATATTTCTCTACCTAACTCTAACCATGATTATTAGAAGAATTCGAATCCTCTAAATCATTATCTAGAATATTTTTTTTCCCCGTGAGATAGTCATCTGATTGAGATGATTCTTTCTTTTTTCTTTTTTTTTTCATTTTAGATAAGTTTTCGAGATCAACTTGATATAAAGTTAGGTTTTTGGCTGATGTTTTACACTTATAATTGTATTTATTCTTGGACACTATATTCAACATGTATTGGTTTATGTATATAGGATGTATGTTTACGTGAGAGTGGAGAATGGTTATTTATCACAAACAAACACAGCCTAAGGGAACAACTATGAGCCCCACACCTAGGAATGGTCATTTATGACCCGGCCCAGCATGTCCGGCTTGTAAATTTTTGTGCCCAGGCAGCCATAATTCTATCAAGTCCAGCCCATCTCAGATTGTATCACAATGTTGGTCAGTCTTGGTCGGCCCAACCACAACCCGAAAATTGTATGTATGTATAATATATATAGTATTATATCTTATATATTTGATATAATATCTTATGTATATGTATAGTATTTACATATATGGTATAATATAATATTGTATTATATATATATATATATATTAATGTTTTTCAAACCGGATTAGATCGGAAAACTGGGAATCAGTCACTGACCGGTTTGGGCAAAAACCGTTGATTTAGTCAACTAACTGCTGGCTCGGACAGTTAAATCATTTGAACCTTTGATACAAACAACGGTTTTGGCATTTTTTAACTTTTTTTTTTGTCAGAACGAACTATCTATTTAATTTGAACGGTCAGACCATTCAACCCTAAAACTGGACTCGTAAATAATTTGTTGTCTAATTCGATTTTAAAAACTTTGATATATATAGTAAATTTATATATACACAATAAGTTTTTTATTTTTTTAATTATAATTACAAAGTTAAATTAAAATCAACTTTAATTTTTAATTCATACGAGCCAACCCAATGTCTCTCGCAGCTCCACCCATAATCAATCCTACTACACCCCGTGATTTTTAAGCTACCCACATGTGATATTAGCTCCCATGAATTGAGAGGCTGAGGTTTTAGAGGTCACATCGTAGTAGAAAGGCTGAGGTTTTTCATTTAAAGTGGTCACATCGTAGTAAAACCCTAGTTTGCATTTATGCATGTATTTAATAAATTTATTAAGTAGAGTTGAAACAGGAATCCGACTTGATCTCTTATTAGGGCCGAGAACCTGGAGTGAAGATTGGGTTGAATTACGGTCAGGATTGAGGTTTTGAGATATTGGATTGGGGTACAGACGTACAGTTGATCTCATCCGAGCCAATCTAACCGTAGCCCAACCCAACTCAAATTGCACCTTCACTTTTTAAGTCTCAAGTACATCTCCACCATCAGTACAGTAACCCCCATTTGAGAGTGCTTATTAGATAAATAAGTGCTTTTACTAATAAGCGCTTACAAGTGTTTGGTGAAAGTGGGCTTCTTTCAAATGGGGGTAATATAGATATTTTTGAAAATTATATGACAGGGCAAGATGAATTCGGTTTCAGGCAGTGCAAGCCTGTGCTTATATCGTTGGAACAGTTTCTTGCAACCTTGTATTGAAAATATCTCTCCATAAAATAAAGCATATAAGTATGAAGATATTTTCAATGCAAGGATATAAAGGCTGTTCGAAGGAGCATTTGCAATGATCGAAGCCGAACTTGGACAAGATGGGCTAGAAAAAACAATAAGACTTATTTTCTGTATAATCATTCATTAGGGCTTATTTCCCAAACACATATAATTGTTTATTGGTGTAGTACCGGCTTATAATAAGTTATTTTTTCACTGAGTGCTTAAAAATAAGCAGTCCAAACAGGGGCTATGTAACTATTTACAAGTAAACAAGCTATGAAAGTAGTGTTCTGACGTGGGTTGTATTGGCCCATGTAAGTCTCATGTACTAGCGTGTTTGCTCTTGATTGGTTATGTAGCGCATTAGTCATTATACACGTCTGTGTTCACAGCAGATCCCAATGCACAAGAGATGTTATTCTAGCCAAGTAGCCAGTGGACCAGAGAATCCCTTATCTGATACGAGGGTGACGTGGAATGAGTTGACAAAAGTTACACCTTCGAATCATGGCGACAACTGGACCATTTGTAATTAAATTAATTGGTTAACAAATAAACAGATTTAGAAGAAAAAAAAAATAAATATGCATTTACATTTAGCTAAGTGGACAGATCACCTGATATAAAGGGCAAAGTTGGTCTTTCACTTGTTCAGTTGCAGTTATCAAGAGACGAGCCACCACCCTCAAGTCACAATCTCTCGTGCCAGTGGCTGACCAGCCCCTCCACCTACGTTGTGGTGGTGCACATTGTCAAGGTTGGAAGTTGAAAATTGAAATTGACTTGTGACATTGCCTTAATTTCTTGATAGAAAAATAAGAGAGAGACAGAGCTCTTAAGAAGTTTTGTGAAATCTGTTAAGAATTTACCTCAACTTGCTACTTCTATCAAACCAAAAAGAAGCATTAGATTTATAACCCTCGGGCTTTGTTTATTTGTTGATATTTTGTAAAAGATAAATTGGTCAATCGAATAATTGACAAACTTTTTTCATATTCTCATATTGCTATAATGAGTCCCATGGAAATATCGGTAATTTAAATAATCAATACTCTCCTAGAGGATGAATAAGCTGTCGATAACATTAGTGCTCTTCCACCTCCATCTTTATCTGAACATAAGTGGAAGTGCAACCAAACCCTGGCATCGATAGTTATTTGGGCAAATTTTGCCCGGGTAAACATGTTACCCTAATTAATACTAATAGATAAAGGAGACCTTAAAGCTAAGTTTGAGTGTGCTTAAAAATAAGTGTCTATTTGAATAATCACTTATTTTGAGTTGAGACCACACCAATAAGTCCAAATAAATGCTTATTCTTGAAAAAAACACTTATATGAAAAACTCATATTTTGAGTTTATTTTTAAGTACTTACTTTCTTTTTGACCTGATTTAGCCATCACGTCATTTTGAAAATACCCTTGTTTGGAATAACTGCTTTTAGAATAAACACTTATTCAATAAGCACTCCCAAACTCTACCTTTATTATTGCAAAGTATAGGACATGGATGTTGGGTAGTAGAAGACCTCAAAACCCGGAAAAAGAAAATGACTTAAACAAACAACCAATGCTACCACCCTCTTGGCCTCTTCCCAAGTTGTTTTTCGGTGAAAAAGACAAAAGTGGCAACCTACCTCCCCCGGATCCGAGCTTGGGCTTGGGCTTGGGCTCGGGCTCCATCTCATCCCAATGGTGGATCATAAAAACTTCTGTGGACTTGAGATACTCCCCCTTTCTTGGTGCAAGGTTTGCTTGTTGTATAGTGTATACGGCATCTTATATGCAATTCTATTCCGACACTAGTCATAGATTTGCAATGATGAATGCACACATGAAGGCCAGATGTCGAAGTTTGATTGCATACAAAAATTAACAAAACACTGTATATAGCGAGCTCTGTCGTTTGTGCAGTGCGGACAGCAGACTCCTCCAAATCAGTCACTTTCCTAGGCATCATCAAACAAACCCAGCTCGGCAGCTCCAGCTTGCCTCTTTCGATACCATATTGCTTCTGCATTTACGAGGCACACCCTCCAAAGCTCCCTTTGTTCTTCTTCCATCTGCAGATTCTACACATTTTTTCTTGCCACGTGGAAAGCTTGTTTTGCTTTCATTGACAAGTGTCCACTTCAACACATGGCCCAAAAGCTTTGGAATTACGATTCCTGCTGGGCTGCTCATTCAGTACGCCAATATCTCGGACTCGGATGTTAAAATGACCATTATGGGCCTAGATCTTGAGAATCTTGCCGTTGCCGGGGTTGGATTTGTAATTTACGAAAGATTTTAGGAGCATTTATATCTCATTTGGATAGGAAAGAAGGGCACTTTCGTACTCCACCTTTCAGGAGGAAGGGATGCTTCACGTGACGACAGGTTTTATGTTCCTACTATAATACGCCACGTGGTATTCTTACCTCAAAGTGCCTTGTCACGTCGATCTTATCTTAATTCCTAAAACGTAATTTTCACATCTCTAGCCTCATCATCAACTACTCATATTCTCATCGACGGTCCAAACTCCTCTCATCCCCCAAGATCTGCTCGACGTTTAACGCCCAGCTCATCTTTAAATATCGGTGGCTTCTGTGTTGTCCAAAGTCTCGGAGTTTCGCTGGAGTGTCACCATGGGGCTTTTGGACAAGCTTTGGGATGACACCCTCGCCGGTCCGCTGCCGGATAACGGCCTTGGGAAGCTTCGGAAACCTTCTGCCTTCAGCTTCCGGTCTAACTCCGGCAAGGGTATGCCTGTGTTGTGCCCCTGCAACTCGATAAAAAAGATTTTTTTTTTTTTTTTACTTAATCCGTCAACTCTGTAAAAGTCACTAGAAATCGAGGCCACTCGGGTTAATTTCTCAAAAGAAATTTAAATTTCATTTAAATTACACAGAGGTCTTTTTTTTGTTATAGTGTCTACTGTTCAGATCTCATGGATTTGGGCACGTTAACCAAGATTTCATGTATATCTCCTTCGATCTTTAACTCTTTGGTTTTGGCGGCAGACTCGGATGTGGGAAGAGGGAGATCTTATGGTGATGATTCAACTGATGAGGCAATTAGGGTTACGCGCAGCATCATGATTATAAAACCTCCTGGAAACCTAACAGTCGACAACGGATCGCCGCCGGTTTCACCAGCTGGATCTACTCCTCCGGTGTCTCCATTTTCCGGTAAGCTCACAGTTCCCCCCCCCCCCCTCCCCTCAGCCTAAACACCGATAACACCCCTGATAGGAAAGTTGGAGCATCAAGAATCTAGAAAGATCTAAGACATAATGTCGTGGGCATTTTCATCATAACACCCCTAACAGAAAAATCCCTGTCAACAGTCAACGTCATTCATGGTGTGCATGGATAGGGCTAACCGGCTAAGGTGCCGGTTAGCCAATTGTAGTGGAATTCCACGTCCTCCTTTGTCGAGTTGTGTCTGACGTTTCGACTGACTGTGAATATGTGTTTTACCGGTGAACTCTTATGTTGGCTAGCAGCGCATTTTAGTGCGAGTGAGAATGAAACAAGGATGATGAGCTGATCGATGTGTGATGTGATGAACAGGTAGCAGAGGCTCAAATCGGTTTCGACGAAGGTCTATGTCGGATGCGTACGAAAGAAGGAAAGAAAGCGGAACCAGGATCCTTGCTGGTCCTTATGATGCGTGAGACGCGATGTGCTAATGTAGACGACAAAGTACGTAGTATGGGACGACGACTGAACAATCAAAGAACCATGACGGAATAGCCGTTAATTGTTTTGTAATCGTGCTTGTGTATGTCTGGGCAATCCCGTCGGTCCTGTATATAGTAGTAATTGCATCGTGTCTTGTCATGTCGGTCAGTGTATGCTTTTTGTTTGTTTCTCTGGTGCTGTACACAGGAACTAGAAATTTAGAAGAAGAAGAAGAAGAAGGGGAAGTACCGGGAGATAGCTAGAGGTTGTTTGTTTGTAGGTTTTTATTAAGGTTCAATGAACAAGATGGCAGTTTTCTGGTTTTAGTACTCTTTTATTGTGCTCAGTGGTTGCCTTATTAAAATGGGTTTCTGGGTTTCATTTCATTTTGGCTGGGTTGTATAGAGATGGTAAGGATAGCCGCAGCCTGCAGCGGTGCAGCTGTGGGAGGAGGCTTATGGAGAATTGTCTGCTAAAGGTCGAACAAAATGAGATAAGCTGAGAGAGAAAACTATAGACAGAGGAGTGAGAATGTGGTAGATCATGATTTCATGAATGAATTATGAGTCGTACCTATTTTTTGTGGGCCAAAGATACGGTAAAAGTGCGATGATAACAAATCGATCGAGTGGGCGATGGCTGGTGGGTACTGTTTCTGGGAGTTTAAATCAGCTCCCACAACATCCCTGCCGTGTATTGGGAATATCTTCTAATGATGTCTAAATTCGTATATTTTAGAAATTCACTAGATTAAGTTTAAAGTATAGGATATTAATTTACAATTTTTTCAAAAAGAAATTATATAAATGCATACCGTTGATTTTGAAAAAAAATGGATTTGTTTTAGAGAAAATCTATGGGAAAGATCTGATATGGAAACAACAACACCTGATTCACTACCACGTTAACGATTCCAGCTTATTAAATATTAATCAATTGTTTTTTTGGATATTATGTCTTTTCTATATTATAGTCGAACCCTTTGTTTTAATATGTTTGGCCGGATTGGACCAGTGGTCTATAGGGGTGTTCTATCGGACTTTGTATAGGATTCATATATCCTTATTTCAGGTCTTTAGATCCTCCCATCCAATCCAAAAGGATCCGATTTTATATGTATTATTTATAAATATGTTGTTTATATTACATTTTTATAATTTTTTATATTATTTATTTTTATAAAAAAACATGTATATATATATGATAAAATTAGTTAAAAATACTTATGTTTCATGTGTTTTCTTTATTTAAATTGTTATATTTTTTAATAATTTATTATTATTTTTAAATAAAATTGGGTTAGATCAGATTCAAACATCTAGCATTTTGATTGAATTCAAATTCGAATCAATATTTATAAATTGAATCTTCGGATCAAATGATTTGAATATGATCGATCCGTTTGCATCCCTAGTGGTTCATCATGGTCCTTCCAGGTTGTGGGAGCTTTAGACTGCAACATGCGCCATGTGTCACCAACCTAAAGCACCTCATGAAAGTTAGGGGGTGTCATACAATATGGATGTTTTTTTGTTTTTATTTGTTTTTGGAATCGCCACATCAACAAAAGATAAAAATATGTTATTGAAGTCCATTTTTGTTTTTGAAGTTAAAAAGAAGTTAATTTTGTTTTGGGAAATTATATATGTTTTTAGAACCAACAAAATATTAGTTTTTAAAACAAAAACAAATTTTCTAATATGGAAATTATACGATTTGTAGAACATGATGTTGAAAAATCATATGAAAACATATTTTTGGTTTCAGTTTTGAAAACAAGAATGCATGTACACAACAAAGAATATGTCTCTTATATTTTGTTTTAAGAAACAAACTATTTTTAAACAAGATATCATTTTGATTTTTTTTTTTTTTTGTAATTTGGAACTAGCAACAAGAAAAACAATTCACATTGTAAAGCATCCCCCTTAAACGATTGCTTGATCTCACTTTGTTGACCCAAAGGCGAATTTGATAGAAAGGATTAGAGCGGGACGCAGGAGGAACTGATACCATGTGAATGGAGTACGTCGAACCTGATGATAGACAGCCCATTTGAGAAGTGGGATATGCTCCTCACAAATGGGTGCCTCACAGGCACATCCACCATGCATTGGGAACATCTCCCATGAATAATAATTAACAAATAAGGGAGATGTTCCCAATGGATGATAGGATGTGCGTGTGAGGAGCAGATCCGGTCTCCAGGGAAGAGTGATGGTAAAATGTTTTGGTTGTTTGGTTATTGTTGTTTTTTCAGAAAGACACAGCTTGTTTATTATTTTTAAGGGGAGATTTTGAATAAAAGAAAGAGCTCAATACTATGTATTCATTAAAATTGACTGCACGTTAAAGTGTATTTTTTTATTTAATTAAATATATTTTTAACATTTTACAAGATGTGAATCAAAATCATTGATTCATGAGTTTGCTGCACGGTGTAGTGGATGCATTGTAGATTTTGCTTAAAAGAAAAGAAAAAGTTGTGTTTATTTAAACGAATTCTTATATGGTAGTGGATTAAAGAGGAAGGGAAAAAGGAATTTGGATTGAATCCTCACAAAACAGTTCTCACACCGTTTTTACAGCCTTTTTGCGTCCGTATATTGAAAATATCTCCATACTCGTATTTGTTTATTCATGAACAGCTGCAAGCTAGGGACTGTGAGGGTAATGTGAGAACGATTTTTGAGAACTGAATCCAAATTTGCAAAAAAATGGGGAAGAGAAGAAGCAAAATTTGGGGGGATTAAGGGTTACTTTATTAATTAATTTAGAGTCACGTTGGACCCAGTTGATTGCTTTGGATGGATTGTGTATCGTTGGTGGGGAACAACACTAGCCTTTGGCTCCTTTTGTAGTGGAATAAAAGCTCCTTTATAACGTGGTTTTGGCACTTTATAATGGAATAAAAGCTCCTTTCATTCATCGGTTGATAAGCCATTACACATTTATATGATAAGTTTTATCCAAATATTTATAACGTGGTTTTGACACTTTGCTATAGTTAATAGTATTAAGTATATGCGTTGCATGTAATTTTTTTTTTTATATTAATTATTTGAATTTTAGTGATATCATAGTTAAGATAAAAATCGAAAATTAACAAAAGTAACAATCTTATTAAAAATAAACGTAAACGCTTATAGCAAATGTGCATGCACATTGCACATGTAAATTTTAAATTACATGAACAATTATTATTATTATTATTATTATTATTATTATTATTATTGTTGTTGTTGTTGTTGTTGTTGTTGTTATTATTATTATTATTAAATTTTGTATTTCATTTCTGTCATAAATAAAAATATTTTTTTAACAATTATTTTTATTTAATATGATGAATATATAACATTAGAAATGTTTCCAAATGTTTTCGACAAATTTATGTACTTTTTCATTTTATTATGTTCTATCTTTTTCTAAATTTTTCTTATTCAATTGTTACATCATGAGTTTCTTTGAAAAGTTGGATTATTGACCCACCATCTAGATAAGAAAATAGCTTTACTTTCGGAATATTTTTAAATTATATAGTTTATCTATATTTTATAAATAATTTTTACTTATTACACTTGATTTTTGTTTGACATAATTAATATATATTTTTTATATATTCTTTTGATTACTTGTACTCTTTTATTTTTTTAAAGATTTATTGTTTAACTATCATATCATCGATTAATCCATTTGACCCAAACCACTAATCCACCACCCGAAAAGGAAAATAGTTTGATTTTTAAGTTGACATTAAATTTTGTATTATATTTCCGTCATTGATAAAATTATTTCTTATGTATAATTCTTATTTTTGTTCAATAAAGTGAATTTATAATATTTGAGATGTACCTAATACTTTATTTTTTTATAAATATATAACATTAGATATGTGCCCAATTTTTCTTTTTTTTTCTTTTTGTGATTCTTTGTATTTTTTATTTTTAAAATTTTTATTATTTGATTATGGAATCATTTCATTTCTAAGTTGATTTTAAATTTGGTATTCCATTTTCATCATTAATATATAAAACTACTTATATTTCATACTTATTTTTGTTTAGTGTAATGAATATAGAATATCAGAAATATGCCCAATTCTTTTTATTATTTTGCATTATATATTTTAATCTTTATTATTGAATTATGGTATTATTTGTTAATCTATTTGACCCTAAATGGTTTATAGCTTACCCGCCACCAGGAGAGAAGAAAATGGTGTTGTTTTCAAATTACTTTTCGAAATATTTATTTTTATACTATTAAAATTAATATTATAGATTTAATTGTTATAATTTAATGATGAGAAAAAATATATCTTAAATGAGATAATATAACTTATGTATGAAATTTAATAAGAGAGAATGGGAAAATATTTTTATTTCCAATTGGTTTTAAATTTTATATTCCATTTCCATAATTAATAAAACATTTCTTATTTATCATACTTATTATTGTTTAATATGTCAAATAAATGATGTTAAAAATGTTCTCAATTTTTTAATTTTTTATATCTTTTTTGCATTTTATATATGTTCGAATTTTATTATTTAATTGTAGCAACATAGATTTGCCCATTTGACCCAAAATGGTTTAATTTCTTATCATGACCTAGATTAAAACACTATTTTTTCATTTAGATTTTAAAAGTATAAGTTTTTATGCTATTGGAATTATTTATTTATTATATATGGATTTAATTAATAAACTTTAATGATAAAAGGAAACAAAAATGTCTTAAATATATGATTCAATGAAGGTAAATGCAAGTTAATACCTTAAGTATTAGATTTAATAAGAGAGAATTAAATGAATTAAATATCTTACAACTACTCATTTTTCTACTCATTTAATATCAATAACCAATTATCCTATTTGTCCTCATTTTTTATTAATAAATTAAAATATAGAGGGGTAAAATTTATCCTTAGAAAATTTCAAAAATATTTTTGAGACTATTTGTACTTTTTAAAGTAGTATAGATATCTACCCTATCATTATAGCTTTCCTTGTTGTTAGTGCAAATTTGAATCACGTTTAAAATTTATATGCGGTTTGGTTTTGCATGCACTTGATTTGCATTATTGTCTGATATAATATTTGTATTTTTTTAATCTTATTTGCTTCCATTAGCATGTAAATTTACATTACAAAAAATCAATACAAATTTTGCACCATTTTCTTCCTACCTTATTCTCTCTCTTATAAAGCAGGGATCACATCACCAATTGATTGTGGTCCAGTTGGTAGGGTCTCTAGCTGTTTTTAGTAGAGACGTGGGACCAAATCCCATTGCAGGGTATATATCTAGCCTCCCCATTGTGTGGTCCCACCAAAAAAAACAAAGAAGTTAGGGACTACATCAATTTTCTTAAAACCTTGTATTTTCTATTATTTCATGTACAGTTACATTTGTACGGGTACATATTTGTATTGTATTTGTACTCTTTCTAATCAAATGGAAAGCAAAAATAAACTATAGTTCACGCTCACCCCACTTGCTTGTATGTAGGTTTTGAATTTTTGATTAAAAATTCAAGGAACAAGATGGAACCAGATGGAACAAGATGGCAGCTTCCTGGTTTTAGTACTCTTTTATTGTGATCAGTGGTTGCCTTAGTAAAATGGGTTTCTGGGTTTCATCTCGTTTTTGGCTGGGTTATAAGGTAATTAGATGGTAAGGGTAGCTGCAGCCTGCAGCAGTGCAACTGTGCACTGTGGGAGGAAGTTTATGGAGGGTGTCTGCTAAAGTTGAAACAAAATGAAGGTCTGTTTGGTTCACAGTAGTCTGGAATGAATTTTTATTCACAGAGGAGGGAGAAGTCAGAAATTCCGCTCATTGGATCCATTCCGATTCTGGACTCCTATTCCCGCAACCAAATGGACCCTGCGATAAGCCCGGATAGAAAAGTAAGAAGAGAGGAGCTAGAGATTATGAATCATTTTTTGTGGGCCAACGAGACAGGAAAAGTGCGATGTGGATGAATCGATCGAGTGGACGATGGGTGGCGGGTTCTGTTTCCTGTTTTTGGCACTAGTCTACTCTACCCTCTCCCCTGCCCTGTAGTCTGCTGTGTCATGTAGGCCGAGTGGCAATGTTTTCATTTTACACCGCACGGTGGTTCGGTGGTGGCGGGTTGAGTAATTGATTATGTATATGTTTGGCATCCATACAGCACCGTTGTTGATGTGTGAATTGGAAATACTTTTTCAGAAATGAGTGTGGATCTCCTGTCCATACAAATTCTGCCCACGTTTAGCAGCCACGCATGGAGAACATTTCAATCTCTGCATTATACAGGGGAGATGTTCCAATTCAACCAGGGATGTAAGTTGACACGGGCAGAGTTTTCATGGACCGGAGATCCAAAGTCTTGAGAAATCAAGATACATAATGCGATAATGTGTGCTTTTTTGGTAAAGGCCTAGAGGGGGTTTAGTCTCACCACCCTAAATATTGGGTGGCATAAAATGTAATCAGATCCCTTGTACTATGGGGTCAGTGACAATGTCCCCCTTGTACTTTTTTTTTTGCAATAAAGACCCCCTAAACTTTAGTCATTAGACAAAGACCCCTTCTATTAATATTCTGTTAGTTAACTTCAAAACAATTTTATCCGACTGTTTAAAGTTTCTTTAAATGTCCAAACTACCATTTTTATACTGTTCATTGTCTTCTCCAGTAAAGTTAGGAGTCAGACTTCAATCCAGGCAGCTTCAGTCAAGGCACCGTTCGTGCAGCATAATAATGCACCATTTGTTCTTAAAATGTGCGTGTGTTTGAAACGTGCGAAGCGATGAAGACGGAAGATTAAATCATAAAACATTTGCAGAAAAATAAAGAACCTTTGACTCACTATGGCGTGAAAACAAGCTCCGTAATCGTGTGAAGCGATGAAGACGTGATCGAACCCACTGCTTCAATTCCAGAATGGCATTTCAGAAGAGATGAGCTGCACTGCAGAAGATAGAAGAGGCCGCGCGAGACCGATCGACGGGAATCCATTAACTGTACTGAAGTTACAAGACATGTAAACCGGAACGAAGAAGAAATCAGCTTCCCATGGATTGAGTGTTCGTACATCACTATCCCGCAATGCTTGTGTTGTATGTTGAAGGGAGCTCAAAGATATAAACCTCCAAATCGTTGAATAATCTTACAGAAAATCAAAGAAAATAAATATGAGCTTAAGTAGCCAAAGCAAAGAAACATAAGAGAAACAAAACAAAATGGTCCAACCTCGAGATAGGTGTATCTCATTCGTTCTGGGTTGTTGCCAAACAGTTGTATTGTTCTCAAACAAGATAGAGACGGTGGTTTTAGGAAGCGAGGTGGTATTGCTGGAGCTACTGATGAGGTAAGAGCTGAAGAAATAAAGGGACAAAGAAACCCATAGATCTGAAATATCTATAGCATAAGCTCTTATCGTGTTTTCCGTGCTTGTTCAAGAGCATCATCTTGACAAAGAACTCCCTGCTCTTGGTGGAGTCAGAGATGAATTCAGTTGTTGAGATGGGCATGGGGTTTTACATAGAAGGGATGGATTGATGGTGGTTCGTTTTTACATCAATTTTTTTAACAGATGAAATCGTTCTTCTTTTTATTTTCTTTTGGTTTCGTTGGTGGGTTCAGTTGGGTTTTGGTGAAATGGCATAAAAACAACAGTTTTGAAACATTCAACGGAGAAGATTAACTGAATAAAGGGAAACAATAGGTTAAAAGATGAATTAGAAGACTTTACCAAAGACAACATGAAGACCATAATCATGGTATGTGAAGTGAAATTCAAAAAGATGAAAATAACAGGTTAAATAGGTTTTAAGAGAAAAAGGTAAGAAAAGTAAAATAGAAAAATTTTAGTGGGGTATTTTGGTAATTTAACGCTTTGCATCATTTGACTTAACGGCCAAGGGAATTTTTGTCTAATGATTAAAGTTTAAGGGGTCTTTATCGCAAAAAAAAGTACAGGAGGGATTTTGTCATTGATCCCATAATACAAGGGGGTCTTTGTAATTTACCCAAATATATATTTTATCAATAAATAATATATAAATATATTTTAGATATATTATATGTATTATTTTATATTTTTTAATTTTTTATTTATAAAAAAATTAAAAATTACAATTTAAAACTAAAAAAGGGGTTTTTTTTCTCACGAAAATAGCGGGGCAAGCTTTTTTGAAAAGTTATCTAATCGGATACCTCTAAAAATTTTACATCTATTAAATGTGCAACCCACGACCCAATCATTGAGTCAAACGAGTCAACAATCGAACGGTTCGACCGATCGGATGAACGACGGGTTGTAAACATTGGTGGGAACAGTGTGTTGGTAGCAGATCGAGAGTGGGCAACTTACCACGTTGCCGCACAAGAAGCGTGTCGAGCACAAAGCTTGGGTTGCAATTCTCGAAAGCAAAGCCTAAAGCCAAAAGCGTGTCGAGCACAAAGCTTCCCTCCTTTGAGAAGCTTTTTTTTTAAAAGAACTCAACCTTCGAAAAGCCATTATCATCTCTTCCCGCCTCGCTTTGGCTTTCCGCCTTCCCCCATGGCAGCAAACAGACTCAAAGTAGAGGAGCTCCGTGTCCAGCTCGCCCAGCGGGGGCTCGACACCACCGGAACCAAGCCCACGCTGGTAAACCTAGCCTTCCCCTCACCTCATCTAACTATACAATGTTCAGCAGCTAAATCACTGTTTGTTCTCACAGGCTCGAAGATTAGAATCAGCTCTTTGCAAAGAAAATGTGTCATTGACGGAAACGACCGATTTATCAGCTGGTCGAAAGAGGCCGAGGGAGTCTGAAAACGCGGATTCAGATGGGCTTGCGAAGGTTAAGTTCATTGAGAATCTTCAAGAGATGGGTGTTCGCCAATTGAGGGAACAAGCTAAGCTTCGAGGTGTTTCGGCAAGTGGGTCCAAGAAAGAACTCTTACAGAGGCTTTCAGAACACGTAGATAAGGATTCCGAAGAGGCTTCTAAAGGTACCATGTTTCGATTCTTTTCAAAGTTGTTAATATCAGAAAAGGGGAAAAATTATGTGGGTGATTGTTCACAATACCATGGTGGCAGATAAAGTAGACGAGGACAAAAAGGAGAAGTTGGTTACCGCTACGAAGAAGGGCAATGCAGTCTTGGATCAATGGCTCTCGGATCAAATAAAGGCACAATACCATGTATTGCAAGTTGTAAGTAATGCAACCGTGTTTATAGTTAGAACTAGCTTTTCTTTTTAGTCAATGCGGCCGTCAAATTGTTCTATTTGTCATTATCTACTCTTCAGCTTTCATATATTGTTACTCAGTTTGTCCTCTACCTATTTTTTTAATACATTTCTGTTGCAGGGAGACGACATATATGATGCCATGTTGAACCAGACTAATGTCAAGGAGAATAATAACAAGTTCTATGTTATTCAAGTGCTTGGTACATTCAATGGTTCAACCTCATTGTTTTGCTTATTTATAATTTCACTTGTTTTTATAATTTTATTGAAGATATTTGATTGCCAATTTGCCATTTTTCGTTTAAATAAAGTTTCTTATACACATTAAAATCAGAAACATGCAAGTCCATTATCTATCGCACGAAAAAACTTTAATGAAAATGTACAAGTTTATTTTAATCCTTGTAGTCATTGAGGGTCCGTTTGGTTCTCAATCTGAATTGGAATCGGAATCGAAATCCTTTGGAATCGGAATCAGAATGGCCTATTCCCATAGTCTGTTTGGTTCAGACAGGAATGGGAATGGGAATTGGAAGCAGCAGGAATGGGATTTCATTCCCAAGGGAGGGGCTGGGAATGGCCATTCCTTCAAATGGGGGAATGCCATTCCAGCAGAAATGGGAATGGGATTCCAATTCCGCCCAACCAAACAGTTGGAATCGGACTAGCCCATTCCGATTCCGGTTCCAGACCCCTTTTCCTGCGAACCAAACGGGGCCTGAGATATGTTGAAATGAAGGATATTGTGCTCAATTGAACCTCAAGCACTCGGTTTAACTTCTTATTTGTTGGAAAATGTTCAGGAAGTAGTTTATGTTCATTGGATGCTTACTGAAGCTGTTTCAAAGTTAACCGCAGAATCTGATGATGGTGGTACGTACATGGTATACAATAGATGGGGTAGAGTTGGAGTAAAAGGTCAGGACAAATTACATGGTCCTTACACATTGAGGGAGAGTGCAATCCAGGAATTTCAGATGAAGTTCTTAGCCAAGACGAAAAATGAATGGTCTAATCGCAAACAGTTCATTTCTTACCCAAATTGCTATACTTGGTTGGAAATGGACTACAGTGAAACAGAAAAGGAATCAACTGTGAGTTGGTCTTACCCAAATAATTTTTCTGGATATCTTTGCAAATAATTGATTTTGTTGGGTTATTTTAAATGTGCCTCGTGCTAAATATGCTGTGGTTTATCATGGTTCTCACATTTTGATGATGACATCAGGTTCCAGGCAAGCCAGTTGACTCCATAACAGGGATTCAACCTCGGGAGACACAACTTGAGCCCTGCATTGCCAAATTTATCTCTCTTATTTGCAATATAAGTATGATGAAACAGCAAATGTTGGAAATAGGTTGGTAATCTGTCTATTAACTTCTACTGGAAATGAAGGGTTAAATTTTGTTGTTAGTTATCAATGATGAGCATATCATCAACAAAGAAATCCAATTTAAGGCCCATGACCAAAAAATCAAAATCAATTGCTTGGAACTATTAAATTGCAGAATCATTTGGCAGGTGGTCGATAAATTAGTATTGAAAGAACATTTTCGGATTGGATGTATCATAAAAAACTATTTGGCTTGTGGATTTCTGTTAAACTCTAATCAGCTGTACAATGTCATGCATAGACCTGTTCATGGGCTGGGCTCAGGCTTGGCTTTTGCCAAATTTTGAATGGGCCCGGCCTGAAGCCTGAGCCCGACATAGTGTAAAGTCAGGCCCGTGAACAGGTCTAGTCATGCATTCATATTTTGCATAGACATACCATCAACTTAATTGCAGAATTAATTATAAAAAAAAAACTTTAATTGTAGAATCATCTGACAGTGGGTCATCAATTAATACTAAAAGAACGTTTTCCAATTGCATGAATGATGATAAACTTTTTGGTTTGTTAATTTCTGTTAAACTCTAACCAGTTGTATTATGCACTCATATTTTGTATATGATGATATTTGACTATTGGGTATCGATATTTTGCCAATTACATAATGAGGCTTCTTGGACACAATTTTAGAAAGTTTTGGTTACTTAGATAGTGAATTATGTTGAACTCTCTCGTTTGTTTCCCTCCATTCCTATGTGTTTCATGTTGTTAACATTATGTTCCAAAAGATCCTCATTTTATCACCTTCTTTATATGTTTTGTCTCTTCCTTTTCAGGATACAATGCTGAGAAGCTGCCACTTGGCAAGTTAAGCAAGTCTACAATTTTGAAGGTAAAGATTTGGATTCATTCATGTAATATATGGTAGAGATTTTTCATTGACAAAATGTAATACAGGATTCATGTAGCTGACCCCATATAGTTGGGATAAGGCATGGATGATGATAATGATTATTTTTTATTGACAAAAAATGCTAGATGCTTTTTTTAATCAGAAAAAAATATGAACAATTTAGATAAAGACAAGTAAATCACTTCATTCCAATACATAAACTGAAGTCAAATATAAGCAACAGAAAGATGCCCAGTTAAGACAAAAATTCAAAGAGAAATGTTTACATTCATTAATTCCCCATCCAGTCCTGTCATACCCAAATTAATTAACCTTCTTATTCTCCTTAGGACCTCATCTAGAAAGAGTCCATAGTACTGTTAGCAGATATAGGAACCTGAGCACTTCATTTGGTGGCAAGCACTTTGGCCTGTCTTATCAAGTGTCCAAGAGTTCACGGTCCTTCACAGTTCACATCTTTGTTAGCCTATTGCCACTTGACAATCTCCTTCCACAATTAATCCTGTCAAGCCTGATGAATTTTTCAAAATTTCAATTAAAGTCTTTGTACTAGAGCCAATTAGTGTTTTCATATTATTTATTTCTTTTGTTATATGCTAGGCATACAAAAAAAAATTGTTGATACCATACACAATGGCACATCTTTATGACTATTGCCACTTGACAATCTCCTTCCACAATTAATCCTGTCAAGCCTGATGAATTTTTCAAAATTTCAATTAAAGTCTTTGTACTAGAGCCAATTAGTGTTTTCATATTATTTATTTCTTTTGTTATATGCTAGGCATACAAAAAAAAATTGTTGATACCATACACAATGGTAATGAATATGCAAAGGACTTGTGTGAACACTTCTGGGAAAGAATTACAAAATGAGACAAAATAAAACTGGGTGCTTCATTTTATGGTGAATTATTATCATTGCTGGATTAGATATGCATTGTGGAGAAGAACACTTCTGTTTTTGGTGCTTTAATTTCGTCATAATCTATCTCTGTGGGTTGTCACATATTGAAGAGAGGAAATGGGCAACCTCAAGCAGTGATGATGCTTTAGTATTTAAAGGAGAGTTTTCAGTTAAGGATTTTTATCTTGGGAGGTTAAATCTGAGGTTAAGAAGCATGTCAGTAGAAACTCAAATGTTTAATGTTTTCCGCCACATTTCAGTCAGATATTGCTCTCTTTTAATCTTTCCATGTTTGGCTTCTTTGACATTAATGGAATGTGCTTCTTTTGTTTTGAAAAATGTTGATGGGTATTCTGGAGAGATTCCTAAAATTTTTTTAAGAAGAGCCAGGAGGACTCTACTTTTCAAGTAGAGCACTATTAAATCTTTCATTAACATGGCTGAAATTTTTGGTCAACCTCTTAATTTTGTAGTAGAAATATTGAGCACTTTTTTTTTTGTGGGTTAGGTTTGTTGGATCCTGTTATTTTTGTTTCTGTTCCAAAATTAATTGAAGCAGATAAATACCAGAGTCGAGAATTAGATCAACAATTCAGAATGAGTCGGTATTTGTTGATTTGGATTGTATGGTTTAGCCTATATTTTCCTTTCACTATTCTATTAAACAGTATACAAGTTACTTTTGTTTGAATATATTTAGGGTTATGATGTCTTGAAAAGGATTGCTGATGTGATTGGCCAATCTGATAGGAAGAAACTTGAGCTATTAAGTGGGTAAGTATTTCTTCTCATATACTGGAATTTATTTGCTTGGTGGTATTTCTTCTTATTATGCATCTTCTATGGCATGCTCAAACTGAATTCAATGTGAAAGTTTCTATCTTGCTTTCCATCTTATACTTTTCGTTTTTAGTTTTAATATAAACCAAGCTATAAATTTACCTTCACTTGTTATTAATTATTCTGAAGGGAATTCTATACTGTTATTCCTCATGACTTTGGTTTCAAAAAAATGAGTAAGCTTTCTGCCCTCTCTTTCTCAATGAATCATTTCATTTTGATTTTGTATTTCAACTATACAGGGATAATTCAGATTTGTTCTTATGATAGTAATTTTCTCATGAGATTAGCAACTAACTAATGAGAACAAACAAATAATGACAGGTGAATTTGTAATCGACACTCCTCAAAAATTGAAAAGAAAGTTGGAGATGGTAATTTCTTTTCCTTCTAACCAAGAAAGAATTCGTTATCTGTAATTAACACTCTTTGCCTAGGAAACAATTTGGGAATGTTAGAGAACACAAGGAAGTTCCTGTATTCTTGGGAAATCCTTGGCAGATGTGTTCTTCACTGTGGTTAGCATTTTCACATGTTTCTCTTTCTCTCCACTCCTTACGATTTCTTAACTGAGTGTTTTGTGTTTTGTAAACTTTTCCTTCTCCCTATTCTAGGTAATGTGTTTTTTTTTTTTTTTTTATAAAAAATTATAGAAAATATGTTTATTCAGTCCATCCTTGACATTTTCTTTTAATGATTTCATCCATTTACCATGTCAATTTTTTAGATTGTTGACTTGGTTCAGTTGGTTTATGATGGTACATAGGTATGTTGGACTTATAGGAGTATCTATATCTTAACTGAGCCTTTTTCTGTTTTGTAAACTTTTCCTGCTCCCTATTCTAGCTAATTAGTTTTTTTTTTTTTATTAACAAGTTCTAGAAAATATGGTTTTCCAGTCCATTGTTAACATTTTCTTTTAATGATTTTGTCCATCTACCATGTCAATTTATTATATTGTTGACTTGGTTCAGTGGTTTATGATGGTGTATAGGCATCATGGACAAATAGGATTACCCATAATGGTCCAAAAGAGTTTTACTTCAAACTTTGAATTCTAAATATTGAGGTTAACTGTTCTATGATTTATGAGTATTATCTGTTTTGTGTTGCATATCAATTGTGCTGTGCGTTAATAGTATTTTATTTGTTTTCAATTTATGTGATTCCATGCAAGCAATTTCTCTTTCAGGAGTGAAGATGGTCTACTAATATCCATTTGTTATTTGTTTTTGTTAGTGGTGTTAGTAAAGGGGTATTTCAGTCTTTGTACTTGTTGAGTGTGCTGATGTGTACTGTTATGTTAGTTCGAGTCCTCTTACTTAAAGAAGGGCACTCAAGTCTTTTTCAATAAGTCAATAATATAATAATAGGTCTGGCCGAATCAAGGGATAAACTTTTTTCCCTAATTCGAACCAGCCTTTCTCTCTTTTCTCTCTTCTCTCTTTTCTCTCTTCTCTCTTTTCTTCTTTCCTCTCCTACTTCTTGCTGTCTACTTTACTCTACAGTCAACGAACAAGACAGAATTCTATGGCAGGTCAAACTTCAACAGTTTTCAACTTCTTCAGCCTTCATCTTTATTAATTATTGATAACTGAGGTTTCTCTTCTTGCTTTCCACTAAGGTTGAAGCCCTGGGTGAGATTGAGGTTGCAAGCAAGCTGTTGAAGGATGATCTTGAGATGCAGGTAAAATTCTGTTGTTGTTCTTCTTGATGGTGGATCATTTGTGGTATTAATTGACCATGCATTGGCAATATGACTTGTTCCCCCTTTTAAATAATTTCCATGTCTTCATTGCAATGATGAAAAAAAAAACTAGTCTAACTATATGTAGCTCAAAATGAATCAACCTATCATTGAAAGTACTAATCTTAAAACAGTTGGAGGCCTCTCAGTCTTGTCTTGATTGAATTCTTTAGCATAATATGCACAAATATGCATGTATATGTAGGCACATATTTGAATAAAAGATGTTATTGCATTTGTTAGTTATTCTGTTTTTTTCCCTGTTGTACTTTTCACTTTCGTACTGCTGCAAAATAGCAAACACACACATAAATAATACTAGCTCCATCAGTCTTTTTCTTTTCCTGGTGAGGTTAATTTTATACTCAGCTTGAGTTTCCATTCCTCATTTCCTTGATGAAGTTTCTTGATTTGTAGAATAAATATAAGTGATGGCCTATGGTAAAATGACTTGATTGTGACATTTTTTTTTGATAGGAATGATTGTGACATTGTTTTCTCTCCTTGATGAAGTTTCTAATTCCATTTCCAACATTGTTTTAGGAGGATCCCTTGCATTCTCATTATCAGTGTCTTCATTGTGAACTAATGCCACTTGATGTTGATTCCGAGGAATTCTATATGGTAACTTAATAGTTTTGTTACATCTTTCATCCTGGATCCAGTAGTAACTAAAGGAAATCAATGCTAAGTTGCTCTTATACCCAAGGTTCTAAATATAGATACAATCTGATACGCCGGGTGGGGCATATCGGACTTTGAAACAGTGCATTTATATTTTTTTAGTTTTTTTAAACCTGTTCAGGGGGTCGGTATAAGGCCTGTTTACCCCCCTGAAATAGGTCAAAATCCCAAAGTGTTAGAATTTCTCATGTTGGTGACCCACCGATAGGATACATTGCAAAATTTTGATCCTTGCTTATACCTGATACACACTTATACTAAAATTGCTATTTTCTTGGTGCTAGATTAACAAATATATGATGAACACTCATGCAAAAACACATTCAAACTATACTGTTGATATTGTTCAAATATTTAGAGTTTCCAAAGAAGGAGAAGAAGAACGCTTCAGAAAGGTGAGTGAAACATATTTTATGACTTTGGATCTCTTGCTCTCCCAAGTTTCATCTGCGGCATATATTTCCTTCATTCTCTAGTAAAGATTTTTTGATGTATATTGAACATTTTTTTTGATATAAAGTGTTTTCTGTAGTTTCTTCCACAGTGCATTTGACTATGTATGGTGAAATGCTATTGGTTTGTTTATGCAGTTCTCTGCTGCAAAAAATAGGATGCTTTTATGGCATGGCTCTAGACTAACGAATTGGACTGGTATTCTATCACAAGGTCATGATTCTCCAATATTATTCATTGTTTTTTTTCTTGCAAATGAAGTATTGAAGTGGTAGATTTATACGATTAATTTTCTGTAGTTTTTGGCTTTGAGCTACTTGTTGTATACTTGTACTGCATTGTGGAATACTTGCATCAACCCATGAAAACAGAAAGAATTTCCCTTCCATTTTACTCTATATACTTGTAACATGCATGGGGATTATGACCCGCCTATGAAACTTTCTTATTCATATGCAGTCATCCAAGAAAAAATGGTCATTAACTATTAGTTCCCAGCTTGCTTACTGAAAGAGAAGAAGTTTGAGTTGGATGTTACAATCTATTTCAGAAAAAAGAGGTCTTTGAGTTAGATGCTTACAATCATTCTTTGTGGCTGAAGCTTGCCCAGAAAACGCTGATCGAAAACGACATTGCATGGTTAATGGCTTGAAGCCAATTCCTAGCATGTCTGCTAAGTGTAGGTAGAGGCCCTAGAGGGGAGGATGGTTGTCATCTTATCTGCTAATCTGTCCTGATGTACCATTCCTCTTTTCTTTTAAATGTGGCTATCTTGGACTTGACACATTGTGGAATACTTGGGGAGAGACATTTCTAAAATGAATGAAAAATATTGGTCATGCAAACTATGTAAGTTCTATCCTCACTTTTTTAAACAACAGGGTTACGGATTGCTCCTCCAGAGGCACCTGCAACAGGATATATGTTTGGGAAAGGGGTTTATTTTGCTGATATGTTCTCAAAAAGTGCAAATTATTGCTATGCAACTCATGCATCCAGGGCTGGGGTGCTGCTTTTATGTGAGGTTATTCTTCATTCTTTCCCTAGTTCTCGTATTTTGCTAACTATACATTTATGGTCTCTGCCCTAATGTTCTTTGTGATACTTCATGCTGCAGGTGGCACTGGGTGATATGGCTGAGCTTTTAACTGCAAATTACCATGCTGATCAGTTGCCAGAGGGAAAGTTAAGGTGCACTTAAAGCTTATATATTTCTGGGTTGACAGTTTTATTCTATTTCATGATTCCTAATGCAGATTCATGATAAATAGAGATTGAGCCGTTATCTTTTCTATTATTCACTATTTGGTCAATCAGAAGAAAGAAAACTGGAAACAAAGAATATAGGACAATGGGAATAGTCTAACTACCTTAAACACAGGAGTTTCATTTACCAAATGTATAAGTGTGAAAGTATCATCACCTAGGAACAAGAGTAGTTCACCCATCAAGGCAAACAGGGCTGTAGGGAATATTCACTCTAGGAAATGAGGGAGTATTTGATGTAGGGTGAGAAGGAGAAAATCCTAGGATGAACATGATAAGAAGAAGAGGGAGAACTAAGGATCTGAATTATGAGAAGAGATTCAGATCTGAATCTAAAAGTGAAAGAGAAGAAATAATGCTCTTCAAAGAGAGAAGATCACACTATTACTTGCAGGTAACTTCAAAATAAACTTGCGTCGCCCTTTACAGACTAAAAGAGAACTTTCATCGCCCTTCGCAGATTCCAATTTCACTGGGAAATTGACCCAAAATAAATTTTAATTACTTTAAAACTAAGGAAACCAATAGGTAGCACATTGGGACACTCAAATAAGGACCAATTCCTAAAGCAACTCTAAATACCTTTTTCTAAACCTTGCTAAAACTAACTTAATATTGAAGGCAGCAGATTATACTATAAATAACAAATATGGGAATCACCATAAATAGTAAATTCGAAAGTTTACTATAAGTAATAATTTCAATTTTACTAAGAATAGTAAATTTCAAAAATTGAAAATTTGTGATTGTTTCTAGAATGTAAGGAATCTTGGTTTCTTCCACAGATTCTTTCTCTACTTTTCTGCCTGTATCAGTATTAGTACCTTTCAGTAATATAGCCAGGGTTCTGCTTTAGGAAGTACATTCTGCCTTCTACTGCAAGTACCTTTATAATGAAAAGTACCAAAGGAAATATAATAGTTACAAATTATCTAAGAGTCTTTGCTAGCTATTTGGAATCCTTCCTCCTTGAATGTGTTGAAGGCTTGAAGCTAGTCTTTGCTATCCACGAGTCAACTCGTGCACAACTATCTAAAATAGTGAAATGTGTCAAACTCGGCTACAGTGCAAGCTAACTCTTAAGTTGACTCTCCAAAATTACAAACCCTCACTTTAAACACCTCTATTTAATTGTGGTCCAACCATTTAAATTGTGTAATAGCAGACTGGTTTTTGTATTTTCCTAATGTACACTTAACTAGATCCATTGTTCCATTGTTTGTTGGATCTTTTCCATTAACATTGAAATTAGGAAAACAATGAAAAACAAGTGTCGGCTGACAGGTTTCAGATTCTGATGCCAGTGTCTGTGTCCATGCAACACTGGTCGTAGTTGAGATTGGCTGCACATGGGTGCAGGTTGGATGCACAAAGGCTGTTAGCTTGGTTGCATCAGAAAAATGTACTTGAATCTATGCATTGCTCATTTGGTTTAGAATAGTCTCAGTATCAGGGATTCCTTTGTCTTCTCACTAAGGATGTGCCAGGTTTATAAAAAATGTACTTGAATCTATGCATTCATAATGATGCTTTGTTAATTTGTTTTTCAATTTCATGAGATTCAGCCTGAATTAAACCATGAAGACAATTAAGTGGACAAGTAATCTTCAATATTCTCTGATGCAACGTTTTTATGTGGGGAAGCAAAATTTAAGTGCATATATAACCACAGATTACCTATGACTAATGGTGCTAGACATTCAATATTGCAGCACAAAAGGAATTGGCGAAACGGCACCGGATTCTTCAGACTTCCTAAAGCTTGAAGACGATGTTGTTGTTCCGCTTGGGAAACCAAAGAAGCAACCTGGGCCCAAGGTATTGTTCTTTATATCAAGCATGGTTTTCAAAACCGGACTGGACTGGATGGTCGAACCGGAAAAACCGGGAACCTGTCAGGTGATCGGTTCCGTTTTCTCCAAAAATTGGATTTTCCCCCAAAACCGTTGATTTTGGTCAGCGAACCGCTGAACTGTTCAAACGGTTTTGATTGTTTTTTTTTTTTTTTGACGGAACGGGCCGAGCGTTTGGTTTGAACGGTTGGACTGTTCGACCCAGTAACCAGACCCTGACCGGTTCGGTCACCGGGTCGGTTTTAAAAACCATGATAACGTTCGCTCATATGCTTTGCAGGGTAGTTTATTGTACAATGAATATATAGTATACAATGTGGAGCAGATCCGAATGAGATACGTTGTTCAAGTAAATTTCAATTTTAAAATGTAAGACTCAGGCAGCAACACTGTGTTCCATTTCTTAGCAGAAGCATACCTGTGAATTCTTGGTTTTCTTTTTGCCATGTCAGATGGCCTTGTATTTAACTTTGTTTGGTTCAAGACGTCCGCCTCCCAAGTTGTATTGTATATGCTATGGTTATTACTTAAAGGAAGTAAAAAAAAAAATGGTTCTATGTGCATCAGTGATTCGTTTGTTGTGTTTATTGCAATTTGACATCTCTAACACTTCAGAAAAAACTCATTTCAGATTTCAGAAACATCTCCCGGAAATTTAGTGCCTATTTATCCTTTGGGACTATGAGTTAAATTGCATTTTCACTGACACAAGCTTGTAATTTAGTATTCTATTTATCGTAAGCCAAATCCCAGAAATTCAACTCTAGAATTTAAATTCTTGTTTGGTATTCCAAAATGCTAGAATCTCATTTGGCTGATATTTTCGGCCAGACCTTTACAAGCAAAAAAGCGTAGAAGAAAATACGGAAAACTATGGATAGGTCCATTGCATATTTCTAAATTCCACTGCGGATCTATAAAAATTCAAAATGTCAAATACCTCCATTCTATACACCAATGATCACCCATGAATTGACATCAATTAAGAGCTGACATCTACTCAACTATACTTTGGACCTAAGAATTCTAACCTTGAACTGAACCATTGACACTGGTCAATCATCATCAGTTAGAAAGAGGATTTAAGCTGCATTTGATTGCATATCAATTGATGGAAAATGGATAATTTGATTGGAAAATGTTATTCCGTAGGAAAATGGACCAAATATCAGTTTTCCTGTTGCTTTACATGAAAATCAAATCTGAATGGCCGAAAAATGTGTTGCAGCCTTGTAGGATATAAATAAAAAATGGGGAGGTTTTTGTTGCAGTCAAAATTAGGTGTCAATGGACCAATTTTGAGTTAGATCGATATAAATCAAAATCAATTTGAGGCTTGAATTGGACCAGTCCCGTCCAAAGCATTTACTGGATTGGATTGATGGATTTATATTGGATTGGGTTGGATTGAATCAATATCCCGTCGATTGATAGAAGATAAGATAACAGGTGTCAATGGATCAGATTTAGATTGGAACCAATCTAAATTAAAAATGATGCAAAGTATTCGTTGGATTATATTGGACTTGGTCCACCTGTAATAGACTCGTATGGGTCAAATCCTACCTTTGACATATGGATCATTTATATTATGAATTAGATGATCTAGATGTATATACGTGAAAAAAAAATACAAATTGTTTTCTGTATCAATTTATGGAACATCTTAAACATGTCCCATTTAACAAAACCCACAAATGACAGGAATTGTTCTGCATGACAGAAATGACTCTTGAATTTTGTCTATCGCCTACCACCAATCAAAGAAAGAGAAAAAGTTAATGTATTGTAGATGGTAGCAGACATCTATGATCCACCCTACCATCCATGCATTTACGTCGCAGGCATATTTTAGTTATATTTTTCTTACCCGGGAAAAGAAGAAAACCTGATCAGACTCAGACCCCTGTTTTATAAACCAGAGAAGAAAGAGGAGATGGATTCTTTGTTTTGAAGATCAAAGATAAAAAGGAGGGACGTCCCGTTATATAAAGCAGAGAAAGTCAAAAGGAGAAGCAGACGTTTCAAAACTCTTTCACTTCAAAGTTGAAAGTTGAAACCCATCAATTCATTAAAAGGGTCCGCTTGTTTCGCAGTTGGAATTGGAATCGGAATCAGAATAGAAATCCTTCAGAATCGGAATTGGAATGGTCCATTCCTATGATCTATTTGGTTCAGATAGGAATGAGGATGAGAATTAGAATTAGAATTAACAGGAATGGGATTTTAGTGGTTTGACTGTCTGATTCAAATGGATGGTCTGCTGCAATGTAAAAAAATAAATTAATAAAATAAAAATGGCCAAAAATTACTGTCCAGGTCAAACATATCGACGGTTAGACTGCCTGCGTCAATGGGTTGCAGATTAAGTCAATGTTTTTTGGCAAAGGAACCATTTAAGCAGTGTTTGAAACCGGTGCCGTTGCTCCAAAAAACAGCGACACATCAGTGCCACGTTAGAAAAATCGGTACTCCAGAAAACAGTAACATGTTTAAAACCATTTTTCCATAAAAAACGGTGCTATAAACCATGCTTTGGAAATTGAGAAGACGAATTTCGAGTTCGTTGCTGCCAATGATCCAAACAAGAAAAAAATAAGAGAAAATGATACTTCCAACCCACACATCTACGGCATATGCAGCATGTGAAACAGAGCCGATTACTTAAATGGTTTTTGGGCCAAACAGTCTGACATCACCATTCGACTCAACGACAATTTGAAAACTATGGTAAATAAAACTAGAAAATCAATAAATGGCAACGGCAAAGTGTAATCCAAAGTCCAAACCCCAAACAACTGTCGCTGCAGAATTTAGATTTTGAAATATTTTAACTAAAATATCTCATTCTCATCTATGTTTTCTCTCTGTCACGGTTAACCTCCGCTTCCAAAGTCAAGACAAATGCATCCTTATTTGAGGAAAAAGAATGGTTAAGAAAAGAAAAATATGTTAGCTAGGCTCAAATTTGAGCTTCCTTCCACGTCATAGAAAGCTTCTTCTTTCTTTCACCTTAGGTTCTGTTTCCTTTGTGAAGTTCTTACCCTGAAATATCTGGGCTATGTTCTTGCCCTTTTTCCTTCCTAGTCAAACAATTGCAGCTTTATTTGAAAAAATGAACATTAAAATATTGTGTAACATGAGAAAAGTGCAATGAATGATGCGATATTAGGCAGTGGGGGCTCCACAGTCCACGTGGACAAATTTGTCTTAACTTGCAATGTTAATCCAACAACGAACGACTAAGCACTCTTGACCGACTCACCATGACATACATGAGGTGGACAAACCCTGTGTTTATCATTCAGCGCCTTGAAATTCCGACATTAAAAGCACATTGTATTGCTGTTTTTTGAAAGGAACAAGCTGACCGCTCAACTTCATTTCCATGATGCAATCAAGTGTTACAGCCTGTAAATTTGGCATCAATCATTCATTCTATATATGTACAGTGGAATTAAGAATTGTGAGGTGAGCTGAACAGTCATTTTACCTAAAAATTTTGGAGGGTGAGTGTCAAAATGGTTTCTTACCTCATAAAAGAAGTTAGGGTTTTCATTGATTTTCTCACCTAATAAATTTTTATTGGTTTGTACAGATTGAAAAATCTATCAAAATACAAGAGATGCTATACCATACGTGGGATTTTGATAAATAAAACTAAAAATCTGATAAAAGTTTATGAAGTTAGACAAATTATAAGTTTTCAAAAAAATGAAAAAGGCTAAACAGTCCAAAATCCAATGGAGAGTGGGGACAAATGACATCTGCTTCTGGAGTTGTGTATAGGCTGTTGATGCTAACGTGGTTAACCCAGGATCTCCTGCTATAAGAAAAACAGTCTAAGGCGGCAGTCTTATGTATGTCACCATCTCTTCTTTTTAGGAGAAAAAGCCTTTCTCCATGTTCATTTGTGGTGGAATGATTTGTTAGGGACTGCCTAACTCAGGGACTCTTTTGAGGGAGCCTGCCTCTTGAATGAGAGAGAGAGAGAGAGATAGATAGATAGATAGATAGAGAGGGAGAGAGAGAGAGAGAGAGAGAGAGAAAGAGAGATTGTATTCCCAAATCGATAATCCCCTCCTAACTTCCTTTCCTTATTTATATACTGCTGTTACAATTCTATTATACCCACCTCTCCACTTGTCCAGTTTGTTAGTTAGTTTGTTCTAGTGGTTGGCTGTTAGTTACATTTTTTAAAGGCTGACGTGGCCTTTTTGTTAGACAGTGTATGTCCTTAGTTCCAATTAGAATGATGTACCTTATGACATTTATTGTAAATGAATAAAGTACATATTTGATTCATGTTATTATGGTGTGTTTCTGTGTAATACCCTTAAACTGAACACGTATGGGACTCGTGTTAGTTTAGAATGTTCATAGCCGTTGGATAGATCTGGGGAGATTTATCCTGATAAGGTTGACACTGATGTGCCGCCAAGTTGGTTGGGGTAGCCTGTTTTAGCTGCCAGGGTGAGACCCGAGGTACATGCAGTGTAGGTTTACTTGAAACCTTGAACGAGACCAGAATTCTAGTATTGCCTTGGACTTTGGGGATTAGTGGGCAAAACTGGAATGTTACACCTGACCCTTAGACTCGATTATGATACTGCACTAGGTGCCGGATTGGGCTATCTTTGATATGCCAATCAGTGAGATCCTTAGAGGGGGTCAAAACCTGGGTATGTTGGGACAGTCCGAGAATTCATCTGAGTGGGTGATCATAGTGACAGGATCAGCCCCTTTGTCGGACAAAGGTAATGATCGGGGATGCACTCTATCTGATGGAAACCAAAGCTGTCGGCAGCCGATTTCAATCGTTGAAATTTGTTTTTGCAAAATATATTTATATACATATATATTACGGTTTCAAAATGTTTGCAAAAGATTTTAATTCCAGGGATCCATATGAGCAGAGAGTGCAACACTGTTCCTTGTAGCTGTGGGAGAGGTCCTCTCTTGTCGGGTAGTGTTTGATCATTATGGGCTAAGAGATTAAGTGTAAGACCATTGAGGGTAATACCTAATGGGCTAATCTTGCATCTGCCCACAGTCCCTGTGTTTTTATAAGGTGGCTTGGCCCAGGGACCACTTAGTGTAAGTGTTGGGCTCATTAAGAGCCTATGGTGATGGGCTCAAGGGTTCACTACCCATAACAGTGAATTCGGCCAGGCCTTGTAACAGAAGCTAGGCTGAATCCATGTGACTGATGTGTAGATCAATGTTTGGGTCCCACGCCATATAAGGAAATCCAACTGGGCAGTAGTTTGGAAGGTTAGTGAGTATATGGACTTTATGGGCCTAAAGCTCAATTCGAACTGGTCTAATTTGATCAGTTAAAGAATGGGTGGATCTGGGATTTGGATAAGCAGATAGGATAGGGAGTTATCCCTATCCACTCAGAGAGTTCAGATCCAAATAAGGATTTGGATCAGGAAGCTCCTAATGAGATTAGGAGGGCTAATCTAATCTGCAGATAAGATAAGGGCTTATCTTTATCTCTTAAAGAGAATCCAGATTCAAATAAGGATTTGAATCAGGAAACTCTTAATGGGATTAGGAG